TCTAGTTAAAAAGTCTTAATAAAAAATGTGCCACTTGTTTTTTCTAATATTTGCTAATAACATTCTAAGCAAATACGGGTTTATAAAGGGGAGAGAAATAGGCAAAGAACACTTTCAAAAAAAAAAAAAAACACTGAGATACATTTCGCTAATATGGCACAGTGTAAGAGCTGTTGATTGCCTACTAACTGACAATGATATACCTACTGATGTTTAAAGAAAGAATAACATATGAATTCACTTAGTGTTATATGCCTATAAAGCAGCTTAAGAGAGAAGTTGCGCAAGATATAACTTGTTAATTCCATCAATTATCAAGCATTCAAACCTGTACTGTAAACACACATTCACTATCATCAGCATTCAAAACTGCCACTAAACTTTGGTAATCCTTTTCAGCTTCGCCACAACCCACAACTTAGTAACGGGATTCCAATTATTGCTATCCACCAAATAACACTTCTTTATTGCCTTCAACTTCCCAAATACAACCTTGAGACGTTTATGAGATATTGCCACACTAAAAATCCTACTTCGCCTGCACCAATTATCAATAGAAATAACGAAGTAGCTCGCAGAAGCTTGATAAAGCTTTGTCATATTCATTTATCCAGCATAAAATATTTCGAATATGCACACAAAAATTGGTGCATAACATTCAGGCAGGAAAATGTTTCACTTTGATACCATCAACAAACCTCATCACAACTGTTCGCACAGAACTGTTAAACAGAAAATGAAACAACGAATACTCCCTTTGACCTTACCACAGATGTCTTCAAGTTTTTAGAATTACAAATAAAAGAACAGAAGACCTTGCATACACCTATTTCCCACTGTCTGCGAAACGCCTAGTAGCGTAAACGCAGTACCTCTATCGCTGCTTATACATACAACTAAAAAAGAGTCCCTTCATTCTAATTCTATATTATTTGAAGGTCCTGTGAAATAGGAAGTCTCTCTGTTACTACAGTGCTGGTAAATTTGATAAACTATAAAAACTTTAGATTCCGGAAAGTAGGTTTTTTCATAACTTCATAAACCCAAAGCCTTGTTCCCGAGACAACGGTAGCAGAAAATATCAATAAAAAATAAGATTTTGACAAGAATAGGATTTTCGCATATACCCTTTCCTAAAACCTGTCAAAAAATTATGAACAGGAATGACGTGAGCCATATAACTACGGCACTGTAACAAAATAAAAGCTAAGCTTGTGATACTCTTACTGAAAATTACTATTGAAACCCAGCTATTTTTCAAGGCAGTAGCGGTGAAGCTCGTCAAGATAAAATAAAATAAAATTCTTTATAAAGATCTTGAAGAAGATATCAAAACAAATAAATCAATAATAAAACAACCTTCCAATTTGATCCTTGTAGATTTAAAAACAGAATAATACTACACCCCAAAAAACAAAATTTCTTTCAGATGAGGTAGTATGAGGAAAATGACAAAACAAGATAACTACTTCACAATGACTTGAAACATTCTCCAAAAGCTGCTGCAAGCTCATCACCTATACCAAGGTCTCCTGTGTTGACTTGTGGTTCACTTCTGTCTAGCTGGTCTCCACTTACTCCCTCTTCATTTGATATTCTTACGTTTTCAACTTTCACGCGTGGTTTTTCGAGAAGCCCAGACTTTTTTAGCTGACAAGCTTTCTTAAAAAAACATAAAGTCAAACTTAAACCGCATTATTATCATCATTGTTAGGCATGCGTGGCACAATGGATGAATTTTGATCCTGAAAAAATAAATATACTACAAATAAAAAGCAAAACCTTATAAGCAGGATCCGTAGGTGGTTGAACAACCGGTTTATAGACATAACGTTTTTCGTCGTGCTCATATATGATGGTGGGTAATTCAAGACCGTATGTCTTATCCGAATCCCAACCAGAGAGATCACCACAAGCAATAAAAGGCACCAAAACACGATTAACCCCGCACATACTATTGACACACTCGTCTAAAATTGATAATTTCTTGATTTTCCAGAAAGCCCGTAGTGCTTAAAACCAGCGAAATTTTTCAAAATTTTTCACGAACAGAATACCAAACGAGTAGTATCAAGATTAAACCGTAAAGCCCAAAAATGTAGAAATTTTCAATAATTCTCGCAGATATAGGAATTAAAGTACAAGAGTAGAGAATAAAACTACCATAATCATCTGCAAACATAGGATTTGTTAGAGTAGGCACGTATCCCTCTGGAAGATGATGTTTTAAGCACACTACGAATGCCTCTAAAAAAAGAAACCTCCAATTTTTTGAAATTAAAATGTGATGACCACTTTTAATATAAGTGGTTACAGATGTAACTTATAGAACTTAAAGCGATCGCGTCTAGTGATGACAAGCCAAATTTACGGTATTAGACAAATACAGTTAAAATTACAATACCACAACTGCTCTGCCTACTGCTTCGCGGTTTAGCACAATAAACTTCCTCGAAGAAATACTTAAGCTGAGCGTAAAGTAAAGTAATGTCTTTAGCACGAAAAATCTGAAAACGAGTTAGCCCATTTATTCCTAGTTCGTCCATTCAAAATAAAATTTTACCTTAGCAACGAAAGTCCCACCGTCCCGCAGAACAAAAGTTGCTATATTCAGTGCCTGAAAAAAAAAGTAGTGAAAACAGAAGTATTGTTTAAAAAACCGTGGTCTTCTTTTCCTGTGAAAAATAATGGAAAAAACTAACCGCCAAGACCAACTGACTTTGCATGTACTCATCGAGGGAATGAAGACCAGTTACTAAAAAATTTTATACTTTAAACGAACAATGGAATTTTCGTGAACTGATGTACCAAGTTCGTACAAAACTATGAATACGATGACTACCATATTTTAATCGAATGACTTAGTGGATTCCTGATCTTCTTCTTTTTTAAATACCTACTTCAGATATCATTATGAAAATTTGAAATCTTTAGAAAACCCGACTTGGGTAAACAGTTTCGAAACTACTACAAAGTAAATTTGTAAACCGCATAAAGTTACCATCAGGCGCCCCGTCGCAAACCACCAAATCAGCTTTCGATCCTTCAAAATATGAAATTATTTGCGAAGCTGTTGAGGTCTAAACAGTTAGTCTTAGCAAAAAATAATAGCTGTAAAACTAAATCAGCGACCATGACTTTAATAAACAACCTCTGTAATATCTCCCTGTAATTGGATTACACCTGGTAAAGGAGACATTGGTTGCAAATCCACAGCAACAATCTTGATCTAAAAGAAGCCGTTTGTTACGCTTTTAATCATGCGTGGTCATTTTCATAGTAAACCAGCCTACTTCTTTTCGTTTTTCCTCATTCTTTTCACTGAAGTAAAGACGTTTCGACAGCACTTGACTCCAACTACCCGGAGCTGCACACAAATCAACTACCCGCTTCACTCCTAAAACCAACCATTTATTACACTTTATTACACAAGGATAGTGAAAAAGTCTGATACTCTAACTGAACAAGATTCGCACATAATTTCATACCTTCGAAAATGTTGAACTCGTCGTCAATTTGTAGGAGCTTAAATGCACTCCTGGCTCTCCAACCTTCTTCTTTCGCTAAACGGTAATAGATATCACGCTTATCTTTTGAGGTCTTCCCCATTTATGACAAAGTACAGGTCTGATGATTAGAAGGTAAACGGGAACCAAACCACCTTCTTCATAACAAGTCCGCTATAGGAATGCCGACTTCAGTAAGACGACAGACAATCAAAATTTCAACATTTTGCATATACTGGATCAAGTCGCTGTTCTGTAACAGTATCCTAGAAACTTTCAAACAAATCTTCAATAAGCAGATACGCGTTAACAAAACGATTCTGTTCCCGTCAATCCAATTCCCAAAAGTTCCAAAATTTCAGACCTTTCTTCTACAAATGAATTAATTTGTAGAGACGACTGAAACAAGAAAAAGACAGTTTTTCATCTTTTTTAGCAGTAAATTAACGAGCAAATAACGAATAAATCAGTCAGATAAGCAGTTTAAAAATCGTGCTCCCAAAACACCTTGGAGAACGCACTGGCTAAGAGCCAACTCAGCAAACACACTCTTACAGCGCAATAGCTTCAACGAAGTACGCCTGCAGAACTCCTCCACCACCAACCAGTCACAAGGTGCCTAAATTCTAAAACATATTACGGATTACTTCTTGTACCCTGACATCCGCCATTTTATCGACTCTTGAACCAATACCTCCGCACCAACCTGCGAATAAATGAGTTAAGATTTCTGATGGCGCACCTGTAAACTTGAATCTGCTGCACCGCAAACCTCGACCCTCGTGCGTTATGAAGCCATGGGAAATAAAAAATTAATTCCCTTAAAGTGATCGACAAATAATCGCCAAAACTGTATCGCCAAATCTCGAATACTTAGTTGCTGCCACCCTCTTCCCCACTGAGCGCTTTATTAAAATTGTTCTACTTCTATTATAACTAATCTCCACATGAACGTACCAAACACTGCCACATTGAAAACGTTCCAAACTTAACGTCTACCGCCGAAAAACCATCATTTCTCAGATCCCTATCAAAGATTTTGGACAGACTGAATAACCTCAAAAACAGAACCCTCTCCACCATAGTTAACACGAACGTCTCAAATCATACACAGGTCAGTGAGAAGTTTTTTATAACTTTGCGATAATACACCATCGATACTACGCAAGATACAAACCATCACTACTGTACAAAACAAGTCTAAGATTTTTTGTATAATTACAATGCTTCAGGTCGTCGTATGGCCCAAAATTACAAATACTTTAAACCTCAAGCACTCCAAGTTCTCTAAAATGAGAGCAAGTTAATACTGTTGAAAAGAACCGATCAAAAAGGTTAGCATTCGAGTGCTTCCAAAGAATAAGAACACGAAGGAGATTTCTAAAAAGAATATAAACAAATAGTAATAGGAGAAAATTTAGAATTTGGATCACAGTGAACGGCCTTTTCTATAAAACATTTTCTTTGCCCATCAGGTGTATACTGAGATCATTCTTTGATGGTAATGTAAAAGAGCCGCTACTTTCAGTTATTTCTCCTTCCAATGCATCATTTACTAGTGATATTGCTTCAATAAACCGAGTCTGTTCTTCCCCATAAACTAAGCTTTCATCATTTACCTAAAAAAAATGGTGTTCACTGTTCTTGCTCATAAAATAAACCCTAGAAAAGCATGTACACAAAATTAAAATGAATATCATCTCCAAATAAAAAAATCCTAAAACACTAATGTAAAAAAGCAGAGGTTAAGTTTCAAAAAAGTCCTAGGGCAATAAAGTAGACTTACTTGTTTCAGCACACTAGTAAGCCAATTTGTTAACTTGTTTATTTTCGCTTCAACACTTCGTATCGTTTCCGCCATCTCTTTCCTGATATTAACAATCTCATTTTGTACAGTAACATTCTCTTTATTGACGTTATCCATACGTTGCCGCAAATTATTAGCCGCTCTAGAAAGTACACTCTTTCCAAAAAACGTTGAAACTTCATACAGTTTTGTAACTCAAAATGAATCAATGTTAATATGATAAGCACACTATTAAAAGTAGACTTGTAGAAGACATACTGTTCCATCGCCATCAATTGGTCAGAAATCCCGGCCAATTCTTGCTTATGGTGTTCATAATCGCGCTGGAACGCAAGGTCAGAATTCAAAGACTTGTCCTCTTCCACTTTTATTAACTTACAAAATGTGTGTATTTCTTCTTGAGCTCCCCTCAAAGTCTCGTGTAACTCTTTAACTACCCCTTCTTCTTGCGCCAATTCCATCTAAATCACAGGTGGATGACAACCGATTAAGCTTGAAATAGTATAAAGGGCGGACGAATGAGATTCTACGATACTACACGCTAAAGCCAACGAATTCGCGTTTTTACCAACCTTGATTACTTTTAAGCTAGATAACTTCGTCAAAATTTTTTCTATAGCAGTTGTAGCTAACGCCTTTGCACGTTTCCGACTATGAAGATCGGCAGACTCACGTCTGCAAAAAAAGTTTTTATTCAACATCTGTGACTTTGAAAAATGACAGGATAATAGAGATATACAGAACACTATGGTCCTTACAAAACTTTTAAGAACGAATTTTAAAACTTTTAGCAAAAAACCTTTTCGTATTCAAACGATCCTTTACCGCAGTCAACTGCTCTTCCAAAGTTTGCACTTCCATTTGAACGGCGAACCTTTCAGTTTGCTCATTGCAACTATCCTATCATTTTTCAAGTCTTTGCAAATGAATTCAAAAGATGATCAGTAGTGGAAGATGACTATTCTTCTCTACATCTGATGAAGAAAAAATCAAAATGTGTCCTTTTTCATCTGAAAAACACTTACTATCTTTGTCTTCACTTCGCTAAGTTCGGCTTCATCAATTTTGTAACCTTCCTGTAAAGCATCGATTTCTTTCTTTATACTCTGTGATTCTTGAAACACATGATTGAGTTGCTCACGCACCTATAAAATCCAATTGAAAACTTAGTTAAACCGCAAATCCTCGTTTAAACTACCACAGGACAAGAAAAAAAACAAACTTCATTAGCCATTCGTTTTCGATTTTGAGAGTCAGACTTCAGTTTATTTAACTGGCTAGCCTTTTCCAAAATTTCATGTTCACGGGAAATTATATCAGCTTTCTTCTCATCATGTATTGAGAATGCATATTCCACTTGCTAAAATCAAAACTTTGAAGCAGAATTTATTCGAAATCCATATTCGCCTGGTTACGATGAAATGCTCAGAGCGGAATTACACTCACATGTAAACATACTTTACGTATTTTCCAATTCCAAAATAAAACAAAAAAAAAAAGCAAAATGATAAGAAATTAACATTTAATCCAGCACTCCACCTTGTTAGCTTTTTCCGAAAACTCTAGAAAATCCAACAAAACTGAAAGAAAATGTCGTGTCGACTTAGCGTCTGGCGTAATTAAATCAGCCATAGTAAATTCGGGCCCGGGTGATTCAGAAATGTCTTCAATTAATGCACTCCTATAATTATTTGAATTTTAAAAGCAAGCTCTTCAGATATACGTGATTCCCCATTAAAATTTACTCAGACAAAAAATACCTCACTTCTAAAACTCATCAGATTGAAGAGAGAAAAACTTACATTGCTGTGCGTAATACTACCATGGGTATAACACCACTGAAAAGTTCATTATCACAACCGTTTTCAGGCATAGCGGAAAGAGGAGGTACTGAGAAAGTTGCTGGGGCTATCTTCATCACTCTCTCAGCGAAGCTGTGATAGATCTCATAAACTTTCTCACACTGTAATTCTCATCATAACTCACAAAATAAAAAAAATTGACAGTCTCACATCCAAAAAAGCACGTTAAATTCATGTAGTAAATAGCGCTAATGAAAAAAATTTGTAAGAAACTTTGTAGAAACTTTATTTTAAACTTTTAACTCAATATTGACTTATTAGAAAAGGAAAGAAAAAGAACTCACAGTTGGCTTTACAATATCGTTAACTGTTACGTTTAAGCAAGGGAAATATTTACATAGATTTTGTGCAATTTCCTGCGGTTCAGAAATAGAAACACGTGACAAAAGAGCACCAGATGGACGGAAGTTGCTCATAGAATGTCGGAACTGGGACATAGTGTTTGTGTTTGCCGAGTAAATTATAATTTCTGTAAAAATACGGCTACATTTGCTTTGAAAAACCAAAACGTCTTTGTTCAGTGCCCATTAAACTTCATATGACCAGCACTTACAATTTTCTAAATAATCCTCTAAAACAAGTGGACAGCGAAGCGAACTTTTTAAGATCATAAGTAGCAACAGTCAGGTAAGAAAAAAAATACAAGTATCAAAAAAATACCTACTGCCAAAGTAGCTATTCAGAATTTAAAGGAAAATACACAGAAAGCTTTATAAAGAAGAGAAGCAGTGCGCAAACTTATATGCTCTAATGCTGCGTCCCAGCGGCACTGGTTTCAAATATATAATTTCTCTTTATCGGGGTTTCTAATGAAACAAATGTTAACTTTAGTAGATACTAGTCATGCAGAAATCTTCATAAACAGATGCACTGCTTTATGTACACTAAGACTGACTTCTGACCTACTGGGATTATCGCTTTTACCGGAAGAATCAAAGCTCCGGAAAGACAAACAACTACAAAGCTACAAACTTTTTCCAATTCCGCTCTCCACTCAAGTAGTGCTCTCTTTGTTATTCCATCGTAGGAAAAATAAACAATTGGAAAGTTCAGGTTTATTCTGAAATAATTTATCGGCCCCCCTTACAACCGCCTGCAACAGTTCTGTCCTTTCGGGTTTTTCTGTCAATCTTGTTTTCTTTTTAGGATCCATTATTGACAGTCGGTGATCTGAACAGAGAATCAGTTGGCGAAAATTTCTACAACCAAGCGCTTTGGCAACTTGTCCTAAGCGAACTTCCACAAATGAATAAGCCGCCAATTTTAATGGCTATTTACTCGCACCTGAGACTGTTGATTATAAAAAATAAAAGCACGGTAATATAAGAAATATAAAAGCAATCAACACTGAGAAAAGAACTAATAAGTGCCATAGATCAAATTGAACAGATAACAACTAACACCACCCGTCTAACAGTTTAGCACCTTCAGAATCAACTAACATCGGCATCACCTGATCCGACCAACGAAAGCATTACTGAAACAAGCATTATGCCAAATTGGGGATTTACAAGTTTCTTCAGCAACATGTTTGATTTCAAAATTTGCCGCAAACATGTATTCGTTATAAAACCGGCAAAGCTTTTAACAGCTCAATATCTCTATAAGTCTTCGGGATAAGCCTTACTCATTTTTCACATATTATATGTAATAGTTATATTATATATAACAGTTATCTGTTTTATGTCACTGGTTTAAGTAACCTCGCCTGTATGAGTACTTTGCAAAAGGATTTTTTAACGTCAAAGTAACCGTTAAATGACCTGCTTGGGCTGGCAAGCATTTGCAGTACGGGCTCATTTTCATTAGTACATTGTTGATTTTGATTTAAAAGCTCTGTTCATAGTTTTTTGCAATTCCAAAGTGCGGCATGTTTGAGTTAGTCTTTTTTGATGTCTTGGTTTTTTTGTGTTTGAATTCCTGAATCACATAACTAATTATTTTGTTTGGTACCACTCGCAGTTTACCAGAAACCTTACTTTCTTTGATAAATTCAAGGGTTTTTTCCAGTTATGCACTGATTAACTTTCTGCAGTATTGTGCCACCGGAATTGTTCTGTTAACGGTAATATTCTTATTTTTTGCCTGTAACTCAAAAGAATTTAATTGAAGTTTTTGAAGAGGATTTCAGGTAAAAAAACGTCTTTCAGCTTCTCATTTACAGTTTTGGGAAGGTCTAAATGAATATCCGAGTGGCAAGGGCGGATGATTTGCTAAACACGCAACATTGCAATTTACTATGTCTTCCAGAGAATTATCAAATGAAATATTATTTTTACCATGCCTTATCATGGCCGCAACTGTCGTATGTTGCTGAAGACGATAAGGCAAGTTTTTTCAAAATTATATTGAAACTCTTTTGCTCTAGAAAAGAATGTTTGTCTTAAGAAGTGTCTCGTAATGATAATTTCTAAAAACCTGGTCGACATATAAGGCTTACATCTTTACTGCACATACGACGTTTTTTGTTTGTTCACTGTTCCAAAGTAAAGACTCGTCATCATAGTTTACCTTTTTCTCAGGTACTTGATGGTTCATCAACTATAAAGTTTTAGGTTCTGCTGTCAAAACACCTTTGTGTTTTGTATACTACTTTCTGCAAAGAAATACCTTAGTTTTTGGAATGATTTTTATAAGCTGAAGCGTAGGAATGAATCGAATAAACTAAACTTGTATTCCTTTTTTGTCTTTATGACTAGGTTTTTAGTAAACTGGAAATGTCTTAATTCACTTTTTTTTTTGGTTCAATTTGTTCAGTGAATTTAAATGTTGTTCTTCATCTGTCTGATATAGCAAGAGGCAGTGAAAATTTTAAAGCTCTGTAATTCCTCTTTTTCCTATTTATGATGGATGGCTGAGTTTAAGACGGTCAAGAATAAAAAGTATCTTAAAATATAACACCAATACGGGAAGGAGAACTGGGCTACTGAGATCTTTTGAATATTCTGCAATTGAAAGACGATTTAGACACACCTTCTAAAACGTTGCAATAGACTTAAAGAGACATAACAGAGGTAAAATTCAACATCGGTGTTTTTTAAACTGGAAAAGAAGTTAGCGTGGAGTTATTTAAAATGAGCTCTATAGGGAACATGTAAAAATTAGAAATTCTCATAAGAAGAAGCCCTTGTTGCAAGGTTACCTCCTACTCTGAACATTCTGAATTAGAGTTGCTTCAGTATATTGCAGGATGTATTGTTACTTTATGTTTTATTTCTTAATATTTGCTTGAAAGAGTAATTTTGGTTTTGCATTTCCTTTTAGTTTTGATGAAATATAGCTATGTCATTTGAATTTAAGGGCAACATTGTTGGGTATGTTTTGGCTAAAATGGAAGAAGAAACAGATGATGAACCTCATGGTCATATCACTTCATTAGCAGTAAAACGTTCGTATCGACGCTTAGGTTTAGCTCAGAAGCTCATGGATCAGACAGCTAGAGCGATGATTGAAACGTTTAATGCAAAGTATGTATCATTACATGTCCGGGTATCAAATAGAGCTGCGTTGAACTTATATCAGGTTAGAAAATACTGCTTTGCCAAGACTTCGTTTTACGAAAAAAAAAGTATTGATTCACTTGCTATCGGTGCTTCATTATAATTTTATTCTGTTTGTCAGGCATTATCTCGCTAACAAAGAAAGTTTTTGTCTTCTATTATTAAATTCACTTCTGTTTTTTGAAATTTTTTTACCGAGTGGCGCCTAGCTTTGATATTTTATTTTAGAACACTTTGAAGTTTGAAATTTCTGATGTAGAACCAAAATATTACGCAGATGGTGAAGATGCATACGCAATGAAGAGGCCCTTAGTGAAGTTTGCGAAGGAAAATAATATTGAACCAGCGGATAAGAAAACATTTTTTGCAGTGAAGGAAGAAAAAGATCATTCGAGAAAGCCAAAGAATGCTCAATAATTTCTAGTACTTGAGTTTTCGGGTGCAAAAGTAATGAATTTTCACTTCTTTGCTTTACTTTAACAAGGGTTCTGAAAAAGGAGTAGCTCTCTTTTTAGTGAGGGACCTGGTGCAATGATTTTTAGAACTGAGCTGAACGTCAGCTAGTGAACTTTCTTCTAATCCCTACGTCAGTGTCTTATTTTAGTGTTTGTAACATCTCCCACCCGCCGTATTTAAAGAAATTTGTTAAAAACTTCAAACCAAGAGCTGTTTATTCGCATCTAATATGTTTGTTGAAACCAGATTTTATTTCTTGTTGTGTTGGACTTTTTCTGGAGCTGTTTTCCCATTTTTTAATGCCGCTGTTTCTTTTCTTGAACTGGTTCTGAGCACTAGACCCAAACCCAGTCTAGTGGGAAATGAGTTGTTGAGTTCATTTTCTTGTGATACAATCTGTTATTGAGGACAGTAAAATCAAAATGAGTCACATCACCCTTAACACCACTGCGCATGGTATTTTTATTGAAAACGCAAATTCAGGTGGAAGCAGAGAATTTAACCCGATAAGAATGCTTATCGACAGTTTGAAAGTCTTGAAATACTAGAAGCAATTTGTTTACCAAGACTGTGAGTGGAGGGAGTGCAGGTCGTATAGATAAGACTTATTTAGCATAATAGCGGGTTTGAACTAATAGTCATGTAGAAATCAGATCGTGACCTTGGTGTGTAATTTAAATTCATTCCTGGGATTTGACCTCCTCTTACGGGTGTATGTTTGGATGTTCCCGTGGCTCGGGTCCTCCTAAATCTCCAACAAATTTTTCAGCAGTTGACGGTTTAATGCCACATGGTCGCCGAAACTCTTGGCCACGTTCATGGATCCATTTGTTGGCTACCCATTTGACTCCGGTTAACACTGGGCAAGCTGCATGTCGCGTTCGCAAGTCACCTTCACCGCTTCGAAGAATGTTGTACCAAAACAGAGCATCGTTCTAGAAGACGGTCAAGCTTTATTAACTGCATTTAAAGTGATTTCTCAACTGTGCCTACTCTTTAGTAATGGGTCTTCAAATTTAATATTGGATAAGCATTAGTATGTGAATTGTTTTATACAGTTACCTTCGATGGCATGACCGCTGTTTTGAGCTCAGTGAACACTGTGCCACCACCGTACATTGGCTGTGTCATCTGTAAATTTCATACATTTAAACTAAGATGACTAGTAAGAAAGGAAGTCTGTATTAATTGGAAGAAAGTCTTACTGGTATTTAACGTACTCAAGGGATGGACAATTTTCTTGTCCGGTCACTCCCTGTGAAAACAGTATCCAGAGGCACTAAGTGCGATCAAATTATCGTTTTTAAGTCAGAAGGGAGAAAATGTACGGCCGACCCTAGTAAACGCATACTTTAAGAAAGAGGCAGTAAAAGACTTCTCAGACTGCAGTCCCTTTCGGTTTGCAGAAGCTTGCAGCCCTTCACTACTCTCTGCCCGCACTCAGCTTGGCTGAGCAACTTGCTTGGCATATGGGGACTGCATCAATCTTAAATATTTGTTCGTTAATAGCGGCCAGTTAGGTTTCATCCAGTTCTGAAAACTATGCGTCCGCAACGGCTTCGACGAACAATTAGACGTATTTTGTCCGCCCGGAGTTCGTCTTAACCGTTCTTTATGCCATTGTCACTCAGCCCAGCACGTACGAAATTCATCAGTTGAATTAGTGAAAAACTGTTGAGCAACCAGTGTTCTAAATGAAGAAGCCCTAAGGTAACTTACGTAAAAGAGTACAGTCGCTATGCGGTTTCCGGTCCCCAATGATTCAAAAGCCTTTGGTTCTTCTTTCTTAAAAAAATTGAGATTTAGTGATTTTAGGCTGTCGTGTGGTAATATTATAAAAAAAAATTGAAGTCAACTGGGAGAGAAGAGTTTTTCTATTGATGGTGATTAAGCTCGTCTGCAGAAAATAACGGAATTAATTTAGAAAATAAAAATAACTAACCCGAGCAAAATCAAAATGAGGGTCATAATGGCCACCAATACCATAGTTGGCTATCTGAATTAAGCAAAACGAATTATTTAGTTATATTTTTTGTCCTAGAACTACCTAATTTAAATTGTGAGCTTTCTGCCGTAAGAGAAAATCGGCCACTCCTTAGACTAATTAAAGTTTCGTTAATCTAACCTGCAGTTCTTCAGCGGTTTCCTGTTCTAAATTTGTCATCATATCACAACGTTTGTTGATCCGATCCACTACTTCGTGCTCATAGGGTTTAAGCCAAGCACTGTTAATAGAAACTTAGCTAGATAAAAAATATAAAAAACCTTAAAAACACTGCTTTAATTAGGCTAGTGAGAATCGCTATATATTTAAATTTTTTGGCGTTGCGTAAGAAAACTAATTTCAGTTATCTGTATGTAAATCATTTCTTCACGCTGTTAAAAAAACAGTATTATTCCACTCACCTTTTGCTGATTCTGTAACTTGCAGTTTCCAGCTCGCCAGTTTCCGAATTCTGCACAGTAGCTCGCCTAAGCTGAAGCAATAGTAATTAAGCAGTCTGTATTAGACTACGCCAAATTCGATAGTTCAACCGTTGAAAATCCCAACGTTTGAAAAGTCAAGCATACTGTTTAATACGTCATTTCACCTTATTACTGTAACTTGACTGAAATCACGTCATCACATACCTTTGGATTGGCAAGGAGTTGAATTAGTTTCACTTCTTCATCAGAAATGACGTTTCGAAAAAGTACAGCTATTGGGTTAAATCGCATTATTTCAACTTTAATTGGAGCCAAGCGTAAGTAAGGCCTGTCCATTTTGTAGTAGCAGTATAGTTTCGACGTTTCTTTAACGCTCTAAAAAATTTAGTTTTTAAACTAGAAGCCACACTTCTGAAGAAAAATACACACAGTTTTGGAAAAATCGTTAATATATAATATAAAACAAAAGTTTGTTCAGAGGTGTCAAGACTATTGCAGATTCAAAATATATTTTAAACGTCATGAGACCAAGCGTTACTACTTCCTACAAAATTAATTTTTGAATCTAATTCTGTTTGCTAGGAGAGGCGACAAAATAGGATTTAAACTACGTTACAATATTTACCACGGGAACTTCATCTCTGCATAATGCTTCAAAGATTCCTCTTTCAGTTAACGTTAGGTCACCATTATTACGTTCATTGACTA